TAATCCAGAATGACTGTCCCTTAAAGGAAGACACCAGGATACAGAAATACAAAGCGGAAACCAGGTAATGACAAAAGCCAAGCTGGCCATTTACAAAGCAAGACTTTAGAAGAAGCCAGAGTTATCCACACTGTGATTTCAACCTCAATGATGAGCAGAGAAGTTTCTGTCACTTCAGCCATCCAGTCTCTTGGCACTTTGTTATGGTGGCTCTAGAAAACTAACTCTGAATTTTGCAAATTCATTTTGTTATTGAAAACTTTACCCAAAGTTTAAATTACTTTCAAAATTAAAAGTCAAAATTTAAAATGAAAGAAATTTTAGCTATTAAGTATAAAACTGACCACGAAAATCACGACTTTCTTCACTCACTCTGTAAAGTGACAATAATCTTAGAAGGAAACATCTCGGACTTAACTATAAGGAATAAACACAGAGTGTACTGTTGTAACTACTCTCAGCAGGTGAGTTACTCATGGAAAGCACACCTTTAAAAATTTACCCGGAGAGAGATGTGAATGTACCCTTACTTTTGCAGAATAATTTAAAGTATCAGATCCTATGGAGTACTGGAAAGGTTAAAGATTGCTCACTAACTCCACCACAACTTCCTGCTGCCTGCCACACACGGCTTTCAGATACGTGAGGAATCCTCTAGAGGAGCAACCAAAGCAAAGGTTCTCTGTAGTCAGTCTCTTTTCCTAATGATGTGTTAGCTGTCTGGCAGTCATAAGGAGGAGAGAGGGAAGCTGGGGTCCTTTACGTGACTGTCAATATTTCTTTAAAGTTGAGTTTTTAGGGTGGTTGTTCATTCATGTAAGATCTTCCAGAAAATCTTCTAGAGAATAAGCCATCTCTACACTACCTTGATTCACTCTCTTTAGATGACTTGGAGGAAACTTTCGATCAGATGACATTTCTACCCCCTCTTTTCCATTTTTCATGTGATGTATGACCACAAAATGAGCATGCTCACGCATGCCTTGTACCTGATTCTACAGATGATAATGGGTGTTAAGTTTCTCCCAATTTAAAAAAAAAAAGCCCCTTATCTCTCTCTTTGGAGTAGACTACTTGCCAATAATAAGCTTTTCTTATTTCTGTCTCCTGGTTGTGCTTGCTGGCTTTGTACTCAACAAAGGCCAACCCATTGTTCTTGGTACAAATCATTTGACTTGAGAACTCATTGCTGCTGACCTGAAGTCACACACACACACACACACACACACACACACACACACACACACACACATTGTTCTACCTCTTAAATTTTAGTGTTTACTCCTGATGGCTATACTACTAACCAATGTCTCCTGGCATTCTCTTCTTATTCTCTGGGCATGTCCCAGCTATGCTCTTTGGGACCCCACCACATGGGAATTTTACTTACTAAGACACTTGCGCCTCTCCCTCTATTAGAACCCTCCCTTTTCCAAAAGCCTCTCCTAGCACACCTCTTCAGCTGTTTTCTCCTATCTGCTCTATCTACTGGTCTCTCCCCTCCTACTGGGTAAGTGTCAATACAGAGATCCCTGCTTTTATCTATTTTTACTAGAAAAGCCACATCAGTGTGCCAGGAAGCTTCCTACACACTCCTGGGTCTGTGACCTTTTCCTTACCGTCTCTCTACCCCCACCCCAGCTACCTGCTCTATCTCTCCTTGTGCCCTCCTGGGATGATATGTTGTTGAGTTTCCTTGCCTCCCCCTAGGAGCTGCATGCTCCCACAGCTTCCATAGTCTTTCTGGGATACTGTGGTGACCTTGTCCCTCCTGCCTCTCAGCTCCCTCCTTTACTTGACTGTTCCATTTTGTTTCTTTTCAGCTGATGGTGAATTCTAAGAACAAGCCCTGTGAGCAATTCCCCTGAAGAAGATGGGAAATGAAGCTGCCCCTCACTTCTCCCCTGCTATAAGCATGGCCTTTTAGAACTAGACCTGACAAAATAACCAACCAGCCAGACTGCTAACCATACAGACCTCTGCATCGCCACCTTGGTCTATACCCTATGGTCCCAGAGCTACTGTGAACACCTAGAAGACAGCTGCGGTTTAGATGTGGCTGGACTGAAATTCTTCTCAATGTTCACCACTGTGACAGTGCTAGGTCTCAAACCCAGGACAAGTCTCACTGAGTACCTGTGGCTCTTCCCAGCATTCCTCACCCCCCAGCACTCCTCACCCCACACCTCTCCCTCCCAGGGGCGGGGCTTCAGCCTGATTCCTCTAGAACTCAGCCATTTTGGCTACTCCAGTCTCTTGATCTTTTGCTTCAGGCCACCTCTCTTGCTCTCCCTCCTCCTTTCTCCTCTCATGGTCTAGTTTAGTCTGCCAGCCATGGTCAGCCTGGACTCTTCCCTCTGCCTGCTTTCCCCTTTCTGTCTACAATAAAATCTTCTCCATGCTTCAGGAGTAGTCATGGCCTCCTCGTTTGATTTCATTTTTTCATTCAGAAAGCAAATTCAAACCTCTTTCCAGCTTCACCACCGCTCAGAACTCCCTCCTGTTGGGAACTAAAGCAAGTGGCCAGACATGGTCTGTTTGGACCCCAGGAGCAGACCTTAGGCCTGGGACTATGACAACTGCCCCACCTCTTCTTAATACTTTTAAAATAGTAACTAAATTTTAGCGTGGGTTTTGGAGGGACATTTAAGTTTCAACAACGTTAGATAGCCAGTTAGAAATGGACATGTACGGAGATCATTAAAGATGGCCCTCCTTCATAATCAGTAGTTTGTAAAATCCAACCCAATAATGCTACTCTGCTTATGGGTCAAGAAACTGATCCAAGTCCTACCTCTGGCACTAGATAGACAGGAAACTCTGAACTGCCCAGAAGGCCATTAAAATGGGTCACCTCTCTAAGTCTACAGCTGTATGAGAGGAGTTCTGATAAAGAACTGTAGCACGAATCTTAAAAGGTCTTATTAAAAAAAACAAACCTGGAGCCAGGTATTGGGGTGAATGCTGGAAGATCAGAGAAGCAGAACAAGCCACATCCAACCTTACCTTGCCAGTTCCTCAGCTGATCGATGTTTCCTCAAATTGGGAGCCTCTCAGTCCTCATCTGGAATAAATCTCGGCTTAACTGCTTCTAAAAGCCTAAAAGCTTAACCAGGCTCTATTTCCTGGTCCTCACGCCTTAAATACCTTTTTGCTTCCTGCCATCACTTCCTGGGATTAAAGGCATGAGTCACCATGCCTGGCTGTTTCCAGTGTGGCTTTGAACTCACAGAAATTCAGACAGATCTCTGCCTTCAGAATGCTATGATTAAAGGTGTGTGTGCCACCATTTTCTGGTCTCTATATCTAGTGGCTGTTCTGTTCTCTGACCCCAGATAAGTTTATTAGGGTGCACAATATATTGGGGAACACAATATCACTACAAAGAACAAGCATATATCACCATCCCTTCCGGTAAATGCCCATCCAAATAGGCCTGTCAATTACCCGGAAAAGCAACAAAAAAATAACTCCTGCCCCCCTCCCCCATCCCAGGAAAAGCTGTCAGTTCTATGGGTTAATGGAAAGCCTATCTTTGGCCCCTGTCTACACTCACTCCTTGAAGCTACACTGCTTAGTAATGGACTTCTTGGTCCCTGCCTGCCCAGCACTCCTGGCCTTGAAAACACTGCTCTCATTTGCAGTACATTACCTATCATCCACACTACATTCTGTGTCTTGTCTGAATTCTCTCAGTGGAGAGCATAAGAACCTGGGGGTCAGGAAAGTCTAGTGAGCGTTCAGTGACAACAAGAATTAAAAATCAGTTATCTAATCTCCTCCTAAGATTAAAAAGACAATTTAAATTAGATAAATAAAGCAGAAAAATAAGGAGCAAAGTGAATAAAATTGGCAAAAACAAAAAAATAATGAAACTGGGTTATTTTATTAAATTAATTAAGATGATCAATTTCTAGCCAGACTGACCAAGAAACATAATATGACATATAAAAGAGACTTAGCACAGGTTCTGCAAGCATCAAGGGTTTTTAAAAGGGACTATTCACAAGAACTTTCCCCAATATATTAAAGAAGGTGGATGGTATGAACAAATGACAACCACGCTTTCTCACCGGAGCCACTATCACTGAAACGCCATCTTTGCATGGAAAGGTGTTTGACTTGAAACAGCTGACAGAGTGCAGTTATTAAGAAGCTGATGTCTGATAGCAGCAGCCCAGAAGGTGTGGGTAAAGCGCAGTGAAGCGGGCAGTGACGGACACCCAGCTATGTGAATGACGGTAGAAGCCAGTCTCCAAGAGCATTTTCTATGACTAATTTGACTTCTCTAACTCTTTCTTAAAGATTTCTGAATATAAAAAAGATTTCGCCTAACTAAAGATTTGTTGTTGTCGTTTAATTATTAAAGGGTGCTAGAAGAATGGCTGGACACTTGAAAGCACTTGCTGAATAACCATAAGAACCAGTTTACATTTCAGCACCATATAACAAGCTAGGCATTCTGCAAATGCCTGTAACTTCAACTTTCAGGGGTCTGACCCCCTCTACTGGCCTCTCTCCGAACATTCCTGAGCTCACACACACATATTAAGCCATTGTTTTAAGTTATTAATAGCGAGAGAAAATGCTTACTTTTTCATGTTCAGTGTCAGAAAACAGGCATGAAGGAAGCTACTATATATATATACACACACACACACACACACACACACACACACACACACACACATATATATATATATATATATATATATATATATATATATATATATAAACGGAGTCACAACTGTATATAAAAAGTAGGCAGAGGACAAAGCCTGGAAAATATCAAGGCACAATAGTATTCAAATAACAGGCCTGCATTTTACTGGATTTGGTAGTATGGAAATGAGGCTACTTTGTGGAGGGATGAGATTTATTACATCCAATAAATATCAATCAAATAATTTTTGCAAAACATATATTTCATTCAATTTTTATCTGCCAAATTTCTACTTATTATCCACAGCTTTTTAGAATTCCCATTATCAAGAACTTACCACATGAGTTGTTTTTAATGTATTGCCATCAAATCTGCATAAACTGGAGCTCTCTTCAAAGAAAATATCACATTCTTCTAATTCCTGAGCATTACAAGGAGGTTTTTCTTTATCTGGATTTGGATTCTTAAACCAAAAACAAACAAACAAATAAATAAATAGCAAATAATATACCAAACAGAAGGAAATAATTTATCCATCCTTAAAAAAATGTTGTCAAAATGACAGATTCGGTCAGCTGGACACAGTGTCTCAAGCCTATGAACCTAGGACTCAAATGTTTGAGACAAAAGGACCATCGTGACTTCAAACCCAGTCTGGGATACATAGAGAGACTGCGTTCAGTCTGGACTCGAATCCAGTATCAAGAAACTAAAACCAATCAACCAACAAATTAGTTAACTAGCTAACAACAACAAACACCCTTAGCTACTGTAAATATATTCTATACACTCAAAGTTGAAATAAAAATTGAACATGATGAGATATGAAAGATAGAAAAAAAAAAAAGAACCTGAATGAACTTCTGGACACGAAAAGGCAAAGTGAGACTAGAAAACAAAACGTGAGCTATGTAATTAGCCAATGCATGAAGTATAAAGATAGAACAAGCTAAACACTATAAAACATCAGAAATCACTGTGTTTAAAAAAGTCAGAGAGTATAGCAAGTCAAAATAATAAGATTGCTGAAAAGTTGTAATAAAGAGAAAATGCTAAAAACAGTCAGGAGCAAATATTTCACATGACTGAACACAGATACAAATTGTTGACTTCTCACAGAAGCTATTTAAGCCAGATGAAATACAGTGTGTCTAAAACAAAAATAGAAACTGTGTGTCTAAAACAAAAATAGAAACTGCTGCTACCACTGAATGATACTCCTAACAAAAGTAACAAGGTTACTTGAAAAAGGTTAAACAAGAAAAATACTTTTACCAGCAAAGCTGAGAGAATGAATCCCCAGCATATATACACTACTGCAAGAAACACTTGGGGAAATTCCTAAAGCAAGGGAAAACGTCAGTGACGTCTGACTCGACCCAAATGGAAACCAGAGGAAATGAGGACAGACGCGTAAGTGAAAAGACTTCTTTTCTTCCACTTTTGTTCTTCTCCAAGAAACTGACTAAGGCTGAAAAATACTGCACTATCAGGGATAGGAGACAGAAATAAAATACATGACAACAATACAAACAATAAAGGAATGGATACATTACATAATTCTTAAGTTGTAAATGAAACAATACTTTTAAAAAGAGAAATGATATTAGAGATAGTCATTTAACATATACACACAAATATTCACCCAAACAAAAATAAGTGTACATATTAATTATTTTAAAAATTAATTGGCTAAGCTACCTTCAAAGGCAGAAAAAGAACAAACTAAATTCAAAGTAAGCAAAGGGGCAAGATAAATTTAGCAATTTAGAAAGTAAAAAACTGAAAGTCAATAGAAATTGATATTTAAGATATTACTCCATGTATTAAAACTGAATAGTTAAAAACTTCCAAAGAAGGGACTCAAAGTTCAGATGGCTAAAACATAACAGTGATATTATATAATTGTAGCAGGAATCTTAAATGGACTTACTAATAAGATCAAACCTGAGGCCAGTTATTAGGGTGAAGCTGGAAGATCAGAGAGACAGAACAAGCCACAGCTAACCTCACCTGGCCAACTGTTATTTGTATGTTAAATAAAGTTGCCCGGGGGTCAGAGCTATTAGCAAGCCATAGGAAAGCTGGGCGGTGGTGGTGCACGCCTTTAATCCCAGCACTTGGTAGGCAGAGCTAGGTAGATCTCTGTGTGTTCAAGGATACAGCCAGCATTGGAGACACATGCCTTTAATCTCAATACCAACCATAGAAGACCTGGAGGTCTGTACAGACAGGCAGTGACTAGGAGGTCATGTGGTTGGGTTTACAACCAATGAGAAGGCAGAACAGAAACTCTATAAAAAAAAGACAGACACAGGAAGTAGGTCTCTTTCGGAGAGGCAGAACCACCGCGAGAGGAAAGGTAAAGTTTTTAGCTCTTAGCTCTGACCTCTTGGTTTTCTTCTTTGCATTGGTTCTGTGTTTCTTATTTAATAAGACGGTTGGTTACATCTACATATAATCTCTTCCATGATGGAGGATGATTTCCCTAATCATTTTATAATATAAGCATTACCTAGCTTTTATCTGTCATAGTAATATACCATTTAACATTTACCTAGTTCACTGATGTTGGATGTAGATGACAATATTGTATCTCTCTATTGTTCAAATCATAAAGCACTGCTTGGGACATAAGTGACTTTTCTCATAAATATCAATGCTTCTTTGAAACCATCAAGCTTAAAAACAGCTTAATTATCTACAATCTCTTCTAGTGTCACAATTATTATATTCACAACAATGCTGGTCATAATAAAATCTGCCAAGTGAATGAGCCTAAGGAAGGAAGCTATTGTAAAAAGAGCTTGAAATCACACTTCATATCCTGGCATATGAATTCCAATAATTCTTGAAATTGTTAATGACTATTGGCAAAGATGAAACTTGTGTTTTCTATTTGGGCCACACTTCTCTTTGATACTTTTAATATTTTAATCTCTCTTTTCCAGACTAGGATGTACTTAACCCTTCAGGGTCAATAATTTTTCAGAATCTTCTTTATCACTTTAATTCAACATGGCAATAAGTCAGACAATTACACATGCTGATAGCACTTTTGGTAAATGATTATATTACCAATGTTCTAAAGTATTGCTGAATGTTTTCAAATTTTCAACAGGTTATTGCAAGTCATTAACATGGTAATATTTTCTACCCCTCAGCTGAATAAGTACTGTCAGGTCTTTGTAATTACAAGGAAATATTTCATCCATTAAAACAATTACTGTACTAGAAGACAGTGAAGTAGGAACAAACAGTGATCTTCCACATCTCCACAAACCTTAACTCAAGACTGGACTTGAGAAAAAAGGAGGAGGCACGAAGTGGCAATGGACAGCAATAAACAATGAAACAGATAAAGATAAGAACACTGAATGCAGACTTATAAAGTCGCAAAGCTTTAAATCCATGAGACAACAAAGGAATGCAGGACATTCACTAACACTGTAAGAGACATGGTCACTGTTGCTCTTATTTTATTTTTACCTCGCCTTATCCTTTTTTTAAACTTACTCTCATATAGTCAATAACTAATTAGGTTTTATATTGGTTTTCCTTTGACTGTTCTAGTCATGATTGTGAGCTCATGATGACATGGGGAAAGAGGGATTTATACACTTACCTGGGAGTTGTATATGGTACAGCTCAGACCCACAGTAGTTTTACTTTTAGTTTTGTGAAGAAACTCCATAGTAATTTCTACACTGGTTATGCATGTAATGCAGAGACATCTGTACACTCACATTTATTATAGCACTATTTACAATAGTAAGTTATAGAATCAGTCTAGGTTATTAACATAAATTTGGCATAATTGTAATTTCTGCTTCTGTCAACATTGGTTGATTCTTCTAAAGAATGTCAAGGTATATTTCTACATGTACACCATATATATATATATATATATATATATATATATATATATTCAGAGTAAAGCAGAAATATTAGAACTTCCATCCATAGTAAAACATTAATTAGGTTGATAATCACTTATCTGTGTCATTTCTATTAGGAAAGGCACACTAATGCTTGACATGCATAGCCATCATTTAAGATACTTCTGGATTCTTGGACAGTGCTTGACTACTGTAGTCACTTACCAGCTCATCAGAGGTCAAGTGCATCAAGCGTTCTGCTATTGCAGCACATTGGGCTGGGTCTCTTATAAGTTCCCCTTGTTTATCACCAACCACCAGCTCTGGCCATGTCAGACTTTCATTCTTCTTAATCAAGGAAATCTCCAAGCTAAAAGATTAAGTGAGAAACCTGATGCTACATTAAATATTACACATTTAAACCAGATGTGGTATTTCATTCCAGTATCCCAGCACTCAGTAGGCTCACACAGGAAAGAATCAAGAGTTCACAGCCACTTGAGGCCATGTAGTGAGAGCACATATCAAAATTAGAGAGAGAGGAAGAAGAGGGAAGATGAAGACTAGAAAGGAAGAGGGAGGAAGAGAGGAAGGTAAATATCTGGTATCTAGAGAATATTTTACCAAAAATCTTACTCACTTTGGCTTTACATCTGATGGAAAAATCTATAATCCAATGGTAAGTAACCTAAACTTAATAACTAAACACAAAAGTATCACTAGAAATGGAGCATCAAATGGCTTGAAGACAGAATGTGGAGTGGCTGGAAAGAGAGCTTGTAGAAAATGCTGTTGGAACGTAGGTATCCAGGGTATCACTAAATCCAAGCAATGAAGTCCAAGCAGCATGGATCTATGTGCAGCAGCTGTGCAGTAAAGCACATACAGAAAAAAAAAATGGCCTACAACTAACCTCTCAAGACACAGAGCCAACAATTTACTATCATAAACTAGGAGCCTTAACATGTAATTTTAATCAAAGACAGGACAAGTTAAATTAATGCCAATGTTAATTTTTAAAACATGTATTTTTAAACAACTGAAATCAAATGTAGGAATTCAAAAAAGAAACTTTGCAATACAGGAGAAATGTTAGTATAGTCTATATAACTTGTTTTCTATCTAATTCTATACATTTAAGCTGTTAAAGAACAACTCCAAATGCACTAGGCAGGGTCGGTCAGAGACCCACAGATCAAGAACTTAGGCTACAGGAAAATGAAGCACTGAGTCAGAGCAGACAGGAACAGAGGAGGAGGCAGTTGCCCCAAGTTTCTCTGGACAGGACAGGCAAATCAAGTGGCAGGCCTTGTGTTGCTTCCACAAGAAGGAATCTTTTCCACGAGCCATCTCTGATAAATATGCACCACACTTACCCACATCCTGGAACACAACTTCAAGCAAACAAATCCACAAGTACAATAATAATCCATTACTGCAATTATCAAATAGAACATGCAAACTTATAAACTATTCTTTAGCAAGGTTATCATGAATTCATAAAATAATTAAAGCATTAAAAATTTTCTGCAACTATTTAAGAGACTATACAAAATAATATCACTTACAGAGCAATATAAAGTTCTTATCATTAACACTGAAAATTATCACCACAATCAATAATGCCCAGACTTAAGGAATATGCTAATCTGATGAAAATGATAAAAACAAAAGCAACAACACTAGCTCATCCTCACCTAACGCTTTACCATATGATAGGGACTGCCTTGGGAACTGCATGTTTTACCTCATTTATGTTTAACACAACCAAATAAAGTTCTGTCTTTAGGTCCATGTTCCAAATATGAATGAAAAACACTTAAGGGGTTAAGCAACTTGCCAGACTTGCAAGTTAGGAAAGCACTGCATTTAACAGTATGTTCTAGCTACCAATTTTATCTGCTAATTTTTAACTGCCAATTTTAACTGCTATCCTCAAACAGATGTGGAAATACACAGTCCTTTCAAAAGAACTTTGAAGATAATTGTTTTCATATATTACGAAAAACAAAAAAAACAGTAAATTTGTGCATGCTAAGCAATCTCTCTACCAACTGAACTAGTCTAAGTCCCTTGGTTATCTTAGGAACTTGTAGGACTTTTATGCATTGAAAATGTAAGTTTTCATATAAATATTTTTGTAACTATTCATGTCTTACTTTAAAAGTAAAACATTTTTAGATGAGCATAAAATTTCAATTTTTAAAATTTGATTTTGGCTTCTGGAGATAGGGTTTCATGTAACCCAGACTGACCTCAGACTAAAAGTATAGCTGAGGTTGACCTTGAATTCCTGATGCTCAGCTTTGCAAGTACTGGGATACAAGTCATACACACCACCACACTTGGCTTAACATCTCAATTCTGAAGAGCAGAAACATTTTAGACCAAGTCCAATTACCATGCATTTCTTATATGGTTTAACTTTTTTGTGTACCAAACACAGAACACATAAAAGAAATGTAAGTGATCAATTTATACTGAAGTAAAATTTGTTTCTCAAAATTAATTCTTCAAAGGTATTTTATACATGCAAAATAACAGATATATATTCATTGTAGCAAAAGAATGGAAACATTCTAAAGGTTCAACAACAGAAAATTAATTGTTTTAAAGGATGATCTACCTAACAGACTTAACTTTACAAAGACATAAGAAAGTACTGAAAATAATCATGAATCCTTAATGGAAAAAGACCTAAAACTCACTGTTTGCAAATGCAAAAAACAAGATGTATAGCCATATATATATATAAAATTCTCTGAGATAGATATATATCTATCTATCTTAACAGAAAATGCCTCTAGAAGGAAACTAGTAACAGTAGCCAGAGGGGAGGATGCACCGATGACTGGGGGGACTTGTTGGAGGGAAACTTCTCACCCTATAACTTTTTACACTTTAAATAAATTTTAAAGAATGGGATTATATTATTATTTCGGAATTAAATTAAACTTGAAACTGTTTCTATCACAAAGCTTTTTTTTTTTTTTTTTTTTTTTTGGTTTTTCGAGACAGGGTTTCTCTGTGTAGCTTTGCGCCTTTCCTGGAACTCGCTTTGGAGACCAGGCTGGCCTCGAACTCACAGAGATCCGCCTGGCTCTGCCTCCCGAGTGCTGGGATTAAAGGCGTGCACCACCACCGCCCGGCTCTATCACAAAGCTTTAAGAGTACAAGCTAAAACAAGCAAATAGTCTCAGCTTTTGTCATCACTGTATCTACAGGTGGTAATAAGAAGCAGGTAAGTGCAACAGCGTCATTACTCTTAACTACAATTACTGTTTGATGTAGTTTCAGCATTTTTAATCTACCTAAAAAATCATCACTATGGGTGGACTATTATATTCATCTTCAATATTACTACTGTAGAGAGAGAAAAAAATAAAAAGTAATAAAAAATAAAATTTCAAATGTAAAACTACAAAAATACCTATCATTCTCCTTAATTGTCCATGTACTGCTTTCATGATCAATAGATGAATAGAGTTTTCCTTCCAAAACCTGGATTTCCTTCAGCATAATGTTGATGTTATCAGGCAAAAACTGTATCTGAATATCTTCCTTAGTACAGTTTTCTGGAAGCCTTACTGTTACTGTCAAATCATCGTCAGTTTGTTGCCAGTAATACAAAGGTTCTACTGGAAATAAGAAAATGCATTATGTAATAAAAATTAGATACAACATAACAAACTTAGACTTCTAAGAGAACACCTATCCAAGTCAATCAGTGTATTTCCTAGTGAGAATCCCTCTCACACATACACCAATTGTAAACACACAAGACTTCAAGGAATTTGACTCAAAGAGTTGTAACAAATACACATATTTTCCTCTTCCAGGCTCACCCAATACATTAAGGGATGGGCACTCATAAATACTACTGACAGCAATCCCTTACTTCATTACTTCACTATCTGCCTTTCCTTATCGCTCCCTCTCTTCTCCCTCTTATTTACAATGCGTGTGCACACAGGCACGCGCACACACACACACACACACACACACACACACACACACACACACACACACATACACACACTCACCAGTCTCCCTGAATTGTGAACCTATCAGTTAACTCAATATAATCACATAAAGGATAACTTCTGACAGACAATGAGGATAAGAGGAGCCTGTAAAATTACATGTTTTTTTAGTGAAAACAGACTAAAGAAAATCCAGAATTTTTTAATCCCCTCATCATAGGGAGTATATTAACATTTACATTTTTCCCTGTTTTCTTATGGTGAAGGTCAAACCTGGGGTTTGCACATGCTATGAAAGCCCTCCTCCAGTAGGCTGTTTCAGACCTTTTTGACTGTGGGTAACTTGAGGTGTCATCCTGTGCCATTAGAGATTATGTCTACATTTTTACAAGAAAATATAATTATTTGTCTTATTATGATGATACCAAATAGTTCAGACACCATTTTTCATGAGGTTTACAGAAAATGAAACCAGTTTCTATTCTCAGAAGTGTTAAAAAATGCTAATCAACCAAGCATATGTAATTTGAAATATGACTCTTTTCCTTTATCATTGTGGAAAAAAAATCACAAATAATAATAAATTGCAAAAGAATTCAAGTTGTAACATGAAGCATCAACAAGAAAACCAGCAGCTGGACTACAGTGACATAAACACATACAGTACTCTGCTGGGACTGTGATTGGTGCTGGTCCCAACATGGATAGAGACATCTCAGTGATCAAGGCTCTCGTTCGCTCGGTGAATGAGTTCTAAGGGCGTGTAGACTTGATACGTGAGCACTGACTTGGTAAGGGCTTTAGCACATTTACCAATGAAACAAGGTTAGGGAATTTATTGAGAGAAGTCCCAGTCTAACAACACGTGTGTGTAAGGAAACAAAGTGGGGGAAGGAGAGAAGGCCTCAAGGCACAACTTTTTCTATCTAGAGGCTCAAACATTTGTAAATCTGGGGAAATACTTTTAAATATTGATTACATTAGTATATTTAAATATGGTTTGAAGGATCCATTTTTTAAAAAAGTACACAAATATACTGAGGACACTTATGTTAAAGCTTTATTTATTGCTATTTAATATGTATGTGTGTTTGTATATATGTTTGTATGTCTGTCTGTATGTATGTATGTACATGTAAATGTGTGCCTGGTGCCCTCAGAGGCCAGAAGAAGATGTCAGATCCTGAAACTGCAGATAAGGATGATTGTGAGCCACCAAGTGGGTGCTGGGTACCACACCCAGGTCAGCAAGATCAGCAAGTGCTCTTAACATCTGAGTCATCACTGCAGTCCTTAATTTTATTTCAAATAATTTAATCATTTCAAAATAAAAGGTAGATGCAAAGAATAATATGCAACTATCAAACACTTTATAATTCTGTTAAATATACTATTCTCTGATAGGAACAACAATATCCTTTATTTATAAATATAAGCTTCTTCCAGAAGACCTTGTTGACCTCATGACCTTTATGCACTCACTCAACATTGAGGAAAACAATGATTCTGCCCTCAAGGAACTGTCAGTTTAGTATGAAGGTAAGAATATGGATACTACACCTTATTTTAGAAGAACACTATTGTACTGCCTTATCCATTGCTAATATAAACATTATTTATTAAGTATTAAACAAGGAATCATGTAAGCAACTTCAATTTCTAAAACACCAGATAATTACAAAATTATGAAGGTAAACCAGTCCACATCATTCAGGGAGAATCTTCCAAAAAGATGGGGGTGGGGGATATGAAATAAAATAAAATGAAGAGAAAGCATCTATTGTGCCCTAGTGGGACGCACAGCATCTGGGAGGACAAAGCAGACATCCACATCTGTGTACCTAAGTACGCATGAGGTCCCCTGACGGGCTAAATTACCTTTGATTTTCTCTGACCTGTCTTCATCCATACTTTCTTCAAGATCCTGATCAACTGAAATAAACTTGAAGGACTTGTAGGATACAATCATTACACCGTTTCCATTGGGCTCAATAGCAGCATAATGCGGCACTGACTTTCCACGGAGAACATGACGCTTGGTAATTTCATACTTTTTACTATCTGCAGGAAAATAAGTATTATGAAAAGCTACATTTTAAAAAATCTTTTGGTAAGAATAAAAAATTGACAACTTACGGCCACCAAGGCAGCTCAGTGGGTAAGGGCTCCACCAAGCCTGATGGGCAAGACCCACATGGCGGAAGGAAAGAACTGACTCCTGTAACTGTCCTCTCGCCTCCCCCCCCCCCCTCTCTCTCTCTCTCACACACACACACACACACACACACACACAGACAATCTTATCCACCTCAAGTCCCTACTTTAAAGTACTGGTTTTGATGAAACCCACTCTCAGTTGTCCTGTCCAGTGCAGCGGCCGCTTGCTGCAAACGGCTGTTAAAATCACGTCCATTTTGAAACTCACTACCTCAGCTACTTTGTCACATTCCAAGTGGCTAATCCCAGTGAATGACACACGCACAGCGCATGTCTAACCTGCACACGCTTCCTCTGGAGAACAAAGTCTAGACCTTCAAAGGGACTGACTACTTTCCCAGCAGGTATGTGACAGGCACCTTTTGAAAAGAGACACTAGCTGAGACCGAGGGGAAAAATGTGGAATGAACTATTTTCTCTTGTTTTAGCTAATGATAAAGAGGGTTTCTAAAAATGAAATATTTTCAGAGCAACTGATTTTTATATACCAAGATAGAACTGCATGATTATTATAATCAATAATGAAATAACAGAATTTAAAACCTTTACAATAAATACCAATTTAACTGAATTTTAAAGTTTTAATAAACTTATTCTCTTATGAAGACAGATTGTTTTCAACATGCTCAAAACACTTCAGATAAAAGAACCACTCTCTACCCAGAACCCCACAGCCCCCACAGTTGGCTGGGACCCAGATTACTTCATTGCTCAACCCTTACAAGAGAATTAACACAGAGACCCACAACTGGACAGTGTGCAGACAGTGAGTGATGTTGGAGAACTCAGACCTAAATGGGATGTCTATCAAACTTCTCCTTTCATGGCTCAAGGATTGTCTTGGTTAAGGTTTCTATTGTTGCGAAGGGACACCATGTCCACGGTAATTCTTTTTTGTTTTTTTCAAGACAGGGTTTCTCTGTGTAGTTTTGGTACCTATCCTGGATCTCTCTCTGTAGACCAGTCTGGCCTTGAACTCACAGAGATCCGCCTGGCTCTGCCTCCCAAGTGCTGGGATTAAAGGCATGTGCCACCTCCACCTGGCGACCATGATAATTCTTATAAAGGAAAACATTTCTTTGGGGCTGGCTTATAGTTCAGAGCTTTAGTCCATTCATTATCATCATGGCAGGACATGGTGGTATGCAGGCAGATAGTGCTGGAGAAGGAGCTCAGAGTCCTCCATCGTGATCAGAATGCAATACAAGTAAATTGAGACACTGGTCACGGCTTGAACTTATATAAGACCTCAAAGTCCAACCCCTCAGTGACACACTTCCTCCAAGGCCACACCTACTCCAACAAGGTCACACTTCCTAATAGTGCTACTCCCTGTGAGCTTATGGGGGCCAACTACATTCAAACTACCACATTCCACTCCCTGGCTCCCATAAGCTTGCAACAATATAGCATTATGTAAAATGCATTTAGTCCAAGTTCAAAAGTCCCTATGGTCTATTACAGTCTTAACAATGCTTTAAAGTCCAAAGTTCAGTCTCTTCTGAGATTCATACAATCTCTCAACTGTAATCCCTTATAAAATAAAAATGAAATAACAAATCACACACTTCCAACATATAATTGCAGAGGATATTCATTACCATTCCAAAAGTAGGGAAGAGAGCATAAGGAGGAAATACTGGACCAAATCAAGACTGAAAACCAGCTGGGCAAACTCCAAACTGCATCTCCATGTCTGATGTCAAAATTACTCTTCAGATCTCCAATTCTGTTCAGCTTTGTTGACTGAAATGCATTTCTTTCTCTTGGGCTGGTTCCACTCCCTGTTAGCATCTCTCCTTTGCAGATATCCCACAACTCCAGCATCTCTAACATCTTGGGGTTTCCAGGCTTCAACTCACAACTCACAGAAAATGGCCTCTCTAGGCCTCCATTCAGGGATACCTGTGACACATACCTGGCCTCACGGCTTTCCTTAGCTGCAGAGGAAGATTCCATGATGCCTTTCTTCTATCCTTGACTCTAGAACCACATGGCTGAAGTTGCCGAGTTCTGCTGCTTACTGGGCTGGATTATGGCCCCCTTGTTTAATTATATCTTCACTAGCTTTCTTTTTCCGATGGTTACCTTCACTGCCTAAGCTTCGCTATCCTGGAACTTGCTCTGTAGAACAGGCTGGTCTCAATCTCAGAGATCCGCCTGCCTTTGCCTTCCAAGTGCTGGGATTAAAGGCAGGTACTACCATACCTGGCTGTAAGCTTTTCTTTAATTCCTTTCCACAAATTGAAAACTTTGCTGTTTGGGATCTTACCCTGAGGTCACCACTCCCTTTATTTCGTTTCTTAATCTATCTCCTTGAACACAGGACTTAGCTCCATTCCACTTCCTGCTGCTCCTTTTCTCCTCAAATTTTACACTTTCTATTTTTCCTTGCTCAGCTTGCTCCTTTTCACTACAAATCTTCATTAGATTTAACACTAAGAACAATACAACAGAATCCATACTAGGCTGTTTTTGAGATTTCCTCTGCCAATGGAATTAATTCAAAAATTTTCACTTCAGTCTCAGGCAGACTCTTCAGACAAGGGCAAAAAGCAGACACATTCTTCACCAAAATATCACAAGAATGATCTCTAAGCCACACATTAACATTCTCCTCTGAAACCTCTTGAGCCAGGCTCCCACAGTTCAAACCACACTCAGCACCACTGTCCTCCAGGCTCCTACTAGGATGGCCCACTAAGCAGTGCTCAGAGCTTTCCACCGCTTTCTAACCCAAACTCCCGAAGTCCAAATTCCTCCAAACAAAAGCATAGTCAGACCTATCACAACAATACTGCAGTCCCTGGTACCAACTTTTGTCTTTAGGATTTCTATTGCCGCAAAGAGACACCATGACCACGGCAACTCTTATAAAGGAAAACATTTTAACTGGGTGGTTTACAGTTCAGAGGTTTAGTCCGTTATCATCATGGCAGGACATAGTGGCATGCAGGCAGACATGAAGGAGCTCAGAGTCCTCCATCGTGATCAGAATGCAATAGGAAGTGAACTTAGACACTGGTCGTGGCTTTAGCATATTTAAGACCTCAAATTCCACCCCCACAGTGACACACTTCCTCCAACAAGGCCACACCTCCTAATAGTGCCACTCCCTATGAGTTTATGGGGGCCAATTACACTCAACCAACCACAGGGATCTATGCAGAAAATGAGGTAGAAAGATTGCAAAGGCCAGAGGTAGAGGATGACTTCAAGGAAGTTGAGTTATCTAGACAAAACAGGGCTAATACACCTATGAACTCACAGAGACTGCAACAGCACACACAAGAATTGTACAAGTTCATGTCAGATAAAATTCTACCACAAAGAAGTACAAGTGAAAGTGTACAAAAGTCTCACTACTAACTAGTAAGTAATTTGCATTTGATACCTCCTGGTAAAATGAAAATCAGTTTTCTCCAGTGCAGTATCACTAGGTATACAAGCACACCTCAGTGCAGACTTCATGCTTAGGAGTAGCTGACCAACAATTTGGTCCCCAGAATATACATTTAAAACACCAAGTATGGTGTTTTTTGTGTGCTTTTTGTCTTGTTTAGTTTTGTTTTCTTGTTTTTTTGTTTTAGGGTTCTTTTGGTTTTATGAGAGAGAGTTAAAGAACATGTAGTTGGGTAGGAAAGATCTGGGAAGACTTGGGGAGAGGAAAGAATATGATCAAACTATATTACACAAAAATTTTAAAAATAATAAGAAAAAATGCAAATAAACAAGCAAACAAAAAAATCATTTCAGGTGAGTATATACCTTTATCCTACTAATATTTTTATAAGCTTAACATTATATAGTTAAAAAAACAACTCACTGTTATGAATTAAATATAACAATACAATCTTCCCTAAAACATGTAATTATTTTTACTCTATATCCTCACCTAAAGCCACACATTCAGTTCATAACTATTTAAGAACCAGCTTGTCATTTCATGAATGAACTAAAAACTTCTATATTTCACCCACAGAAACATGCATACCAAACAGTCCTACATTTCTTTCAAGACCCCAAACCAAGGATGATTTTTTCCTAATATGTTTGGGAAAGTAAATAATAGTAAGTGTTAAGCAGTAGATTCCATGATTAAATTTTCTATTTTGCTAAATAAAACTTAGAAACTTCAGCATTCTTAGTGTGTTTTGGGGATGTTAAACATTTTCATTTTCCAACTTAACTGACAACAAAATATAATTAATTCTATGTTCCCCTCAACGTAGTTTAGAAAAATACTGCTCTGCTATGTTAGATTTGAACATCAAAAGGACTGGAAACACAGCTCAGCCCATTAAGTACTTACTCTGCAAACATGAGAACTTGACTTTGGTCCCCAGAAAGCATGTTTAAAAAGCCATGCACAGTGGCATGTACTTGTATTCCCAGCACTAGAGAAGCAGAACAGGTTGTGTTACTGCCAACCAGTCTAGTCTACTTGGTGAGTTCCAGACTAGTGAGAAACACCATCTCAAAACACAAGGTGGACTGCATCTGGCCTCTACATGCACCTGAACACACACACACACACACACACACACACACACACACACACACACACACACACACACACACACACACACACACACACACACACACACACACACACGGGAAGAGGGGTTAATACACTAAAAAAAAAATAACACAATTCTATTAGTAATACTTGGGGAAAGCAAGGTATTAAAAAGAGCAGAGAAAAAGTAAGATAATTGCTGAGTTCCACAAATACCAATCCTCGGAGAAAAAAGAAAGGTCATTCTAATTGCGCCTGTTCAAATGAGGCGAGATGAAGAAATGGGGCTGCGATGGCAGAGCTGCTGTGAAATCTACAGGCATCAGGTAAGTAACATGGACTGACCTGCACTACAGAACCAAGTGTCTTGAACAGGGAGAAGGAAAATGCATGATGATTTCTCCTCTAAGAAGCTAAATCATATACAAAAAAAAAAAAAAAAAAAAAAAAAGACAAACAAACAGAAAACCACTTCTACTGTTTCCTTAAATAGCAGTCTTCAAAGTACTACCCAGGAGCCAAAGCTGAATCTATTCCTGTATTTGTACAGTTTGAGGGTTAAGCATTACTTTTTATTTCAAATGGCAGGAAATCAATCAAAAGAATATTTAAATACCTATAACAATTCTTGTCACTCAAGCTTCAATGTCCCTAAGTATTTTAGAACCCAGCTTACTAATTCCTTCATAAACTAGCCACTGCTTTTTTCTTGCCGTAACAAAACAGGTGAATAGCTGTGACACAGACTGTATGGTTACTGTCTGGTCCTTTAAAGCAGTGTTTTTTTTTCCAACTCCTAAAATATAGTTACTGCTTTCCTATAGAGATGGAGATAATGCTGGGAAAAACAAACGTAGGAGATTTATTCAGCTTAAGCATAAGCAATTCCATGTCGATATAGACGTTTCTTAACAGAGTTATTCCTTTTAGAAAGCAAGTATTCAGATACAGAAAGCCTGTATCTGAAATGTAAATTGGCAGTAAGGTTTTTTTGTAGTGAATAAGAAGAACAGTGGAACAATGTCAACATGGAAAAAACAAACAAACAAACACAAAGAAAAACAAGCAAACTCTCTTCTTAGCAGCAATTAGAGAAAAGCAGAGACTGACTGAGAGGAAGAATGCTAAATACATCACTTAAACTAAGCAATGGCAAAGAGCAGGCACTCACCATTAGGAACCTCAGTAATACACAAGAAACTACTTTTTAATGTCATGCTTGAAGTCTGACATATATTGATAAGAAAGTTTTATGGAAGGTAGAAGCAAAAGACTAGGTTGAACAAAATAAAGGCAGTCACTCCATTTCCCTTTTTGTATTTATATTTAAATGTATTTAAGTTAGACTAAAATTTACTATTGCTATTAGGTAGCTATTTCCTGTAATTTGAGACACATCCTCATTTAGAAAAAGAGGTTCCTAAGACTCAGGTGAAAGAAACAATTTTCAGGAAACTCCTCAAAGTTACAAAATTCAAAGGCCCTCCCAAGGTTATATAAGCTGTAATGGAGCACGCTGAGAGTTGGGGGGCAGGGAGACAGTTCTGTGAGTTTGTTACCAATGCAGGGGTGAGCTCTTCAGTGCTGTAGCTGCCTGTGCACCACCCAGGTCCTGCAAATAACACATCTACTGGGGCTCCTGTATGTAGCCCCAAAAAACGTTAGGGCTCACTCAGCTATACACTGTATGACTTTGGTCGCTGTCAGTGCTGTATCTAGTGTGGATGAAGTTTATTCATGTCTCACAACAGATATTTATATCCATGTTCATATATATGAATTTTTAGATATAAATTTTTAGCTGTTTTAATTATATATATAATTATTTATTATATATATTATATATATATATTATGGTCTCCAAAATTCATGTAATTCTTTTAAATAGACTGCATAATTGGTTGTAGAAGCATATCATAGTCTTTTTAGAAGCATAATTTATCACAATGCTCAAGAAACAAGCAGTATTCCATTTCAAGCCCCAACCAGCTAAGGCAAGCTGGAGAGGTTCAGAATCTTGTTTACCTTACCTTCTTTTTTCTTACTGACAGTGACCCACTCTAAAGAAACATAGAAGCCACTTCCTTTCATGTCCAATTCCTCCTTCTCTATGCGAAGAAGAAGCATAGCTACTGAGTGCTCTTCACCTTCCAGCAATGAGATACTATGAATTATAATAAATGGATTCCCAAGTTCTTCATTAAACATAATCTATAGGGGAAAAAAATCACACATATTTTAAATGCATGGTTTATAAAAGCGAAATATGATCATCACCAAAGAAATAACAGGACATTCGAATAGAATGAGCAGGGGGAAGAGAAATAAAGCATTCTCCTAGAACCATATATGGAAAAGGGGGATGCTTCACAAAGCACTCAGCACAGTCCCATAAATGTCTCCATCTAATTTACACACGCCTTCGGGACTCTGCACAAGTCTTACCAAAAACAAAAAACAACTCACCTCCCATTTTTCAGGACTATTTCCACGGTTGCCTGTTCCAATGACATATAATCTTCCAGTTCCGTCTGACAAGGTAACCCAGGTAGGGGATGTGAAATGGATAGAAGCACAAAGACGATTGTCATATGTTGTCAAATCTGTAGGGAGTCGGAACACCTCTCGAGGTTTTCCTAAGGCAGTGTCCTAAAACGAAACCAAGGATTATAAATAAATCCTTCCTATTCCTGATCCATACACACACAAAATACCTACAGTACGGCTGATTCTTCTGTATTCAAAAGCTGCGTCAATTTCCCTTCCTTTGAGTATGAAGTGTACTGATTTTAACAAATAAAAAAAAGTAGATGGGACAGGTGGCACGCAGCCTCTAGGATGAGATCACAAACATTTTACATCACCATCTTTGCTCTTTCTTAGGTTACACACTGTAAGGCGGCTAGCAGTTAAGCTGCGGTGAAGATCAGATAATGAGTAAATGTAAAGACCCACATTGAGAGGAAGGGGGGGGGAGGGAGAGGCTCCCAATAATAACAGCACCATGTTGAAATTGCATTCCTTAGTGGTGTCAAGTTTCCCATGAGAAACCATTAGGGAGACAGTCACTTACGCCACTTTGTGAATTTCTGACCACAGGGAGAGTGCGATGGTCATTGCTCACTGTCTCAAGTGACTGAGTTCTGTAACTGCTCTATCAAGAGAAGCTAGTACATTACAGTAATCTAATTTCGTTCTTAGTTTTAGGGTCAGTAGTGCTAATTTACTAACAGGACATACCATGTTATATTTTCAAATGCCTATGTAGATAATATTCTATAGCAGTGTTTCTCAACCTTCCTAATGCTGTGACCTGTTAATACAGTTAATCATGTTGTGATGACCCCCAACCATAAAATTATTTTTGTTGCTACTTCATAACTATAATTTTGCTACTGTTATGAATCACAATGTAAATATCTGTGGGTTTTGTTTTTGTTGTTGTTTTTTATTTGGTCTTAGGAGACCCCTATGAAAAGATCGTCTAACTCCCAAAGGGGTTGTAACCTACAGGTTGGGAACCACTGTTGTATAGCAAAAAGAAAAAAACAAGCAAACAAACAAACAAAAAAAAACCGAAAAACAAACCAACATACCTTTAACCCAGAACTCAGGAGGCAGAGACAGGAGGATCTCTGAGTTTGAGGTCAGCCTGGTCTACAGAGTGAGTTCCAGGACAGCTAGGGCTACACAGAGAAACCCTGTCTGGGGAGTGGTGGGGAGAGTGTTACATTGAGATACTATCAACTCAGATTTTTGTTAACAAATTCTCAGTTGTGTCTGTCTTTACAATATAGAGCTATGATATGAAGAATCACCAAAATGTTTTATGAGAAAATACATTCAGAATTTACCATTTAGGAAACAAATGCTCATAAACTACCAGACTATATTCATTTAAAAAATTTTTAACTGTCAGAGTTCCCTACAGAAGGAAAGTAATCCTTAATTTATGCACTGTATTTGTTCGATTCTACAACTGTTTTAATCTATACTCTTTTAATTACAAGGTTTTGAAAAAAAGCAAACCAATTTAGTTATCTATGAAATCATATCTTTAATTTTTTACTCATGTTTTATAAATTTGGTAATGTTGAATTAAATAAGAAATATAAAATAGCAAGCATAGCTACCAACAACTGTTGCAGAAACATCAAATCTGAATATTAGCCATGTGAAACAGGATTACATCATGACAGTACTGAGATGCCTCAAAGACAGGCAGTACAGCCTCCATCAGTACACACTTGACTTATTGTAGTCTCCAGTCCTGACGTTTCAGAGGAAACAACATCAGAAAACCCAATCAGTTAGATGGAGGTCAGTGAACAGAAATTTTGCCATAGGCTGATGTCCATGTCTATCTACATTTAGAACACAACATGGTATTTCCACTAAAAGTAAACAGACTGGTCAACAGGTGATACTGGCATGCTTGAATACTTCTGGGGAAAAAAATTCAAACCTGACACATACACGAAAATATTCAATATTCCAGATGGACTATTAATCTGAATGCTTTAGAGGAAAAGTTAAATAACTGATAGAGGACTGTTTTAATAATTTTAGGGTAGTCAATGACTGCCCATACAAAAATGCAAGATATAGGAACCAAAGACAACAAACACAGGACTAACGTCTGTATAAAAATCACCTTGTCTTTAAAATTAGACTTGCAATGTCTATCCTTGGCTGAGGTGCCCTGTTGGTAGACAAAATAAGTACAGGCTTATTAAAAATGAAAAGAAATCAAATTTATTGATGTTTTACATACCCTTTGATATAACTCAGCTTATAGGGATTTATATAGTATTTCTATTAATATAAAGCTCAAGTATAAAGAAAAAGACACTTAAGCCAGTAAAAACTGGGATGGAGTGTAACAGCAGCCTCTGACACAGGGCAGCTGGCTTAGGAGCCTCACGCAGGTCTTGGTTTGCCTAGAAAAGTCCAATACTTACAGCATTCTTCTAATGAACACACATATCAGACAAACACAACTCCAATGGAGCAAGACAAAACAACATCACTCTATGAGAATTCCTATGCACAGAAGAACACATCAACACTACAAATTTGATTCTATAGCACACTAGTGTGAGCCACTACATCTTCCTGACTAATGACAGCCAGAGTTCCATTCCAGTCTTCCTTCCTAGGTGAGACCTGACATACCCACACACCCACTTCCTTAAACCCTGCCCCTCCAAATCACCTAATGTGAGTCAGATCCCTCACTATCACCAATGCTAAATCCTCCCAGATACTCTGTGGCTCTCCTTCACTTATGTTCTCCCTTACTGTAAGAAGTAATAAATCCAACTTATTCAACAGTGTGACTGTTGTTTGCCTAGAAAGTGCTAGCAAGGAAATAGAACATCCACTCTAGGGAATCCCAAATACCAGTTAAATGTACTGAGATAGATTTGTATTGCTGACAAAAAATAATAAATTCAATGAGATACTAACAAAGAAAAAGACAAAATGATACAATGTGTTTAACATTCATTGTGAATTCATACATTCTGAAACAAATGTGAGGCATCAGCTTACAGTAAATTACAGACAGACACACAACAGTGCTTAGTATCAGGAAGGGAAATAAGATTGGAGTATGACTGGGGGAAAGGAGATGAGGGGGAAGGCAAATTTTCCTCCTTTGTTTCAAATATGTTGCTATTTTTGTCCTATACCAATGATTTGTGTAGCATAGATAATTTAAAAATATTAATAATACAGAGTAAAATAGAATTTCACAAAGCAGGTGTTTACTGCATGGCCCGTCAGACTTACTCTAGTGAACCATCATTAAGAAGGAGGGCTAAACTAGGCAATCACTGTTCAATCATATACAAGTAAGTGTTTCAGGTCATTTTCTTTTAAATACATGGCTACACATGACTGAAGTTAATAGCAGTATAATTATCAGATAAATTGGTACAATATCTAATAGAATAATTAAGAGGCTTGAGTATATAAATGTGAAGCCAAAATTAACTAATTTAAAACACACAGTGTCTGCCTCATTTGAGTTAAATGATAAAACAAAAACAACCCAAATGTTCCCGACTTAGAATTCAGTTCAGTTTGAAAGCGTCCTCATAATTATGCCTTATGAAAGTGACATCTCCAGTTCCAGGTTCCACCCATTTCCCTTTCCTCACAAAAAGTAAGGCAACCATATTCAAGGATATTGGAAAATTAGTCTGAGGCAATAATTCTCTGTTGATTTGCAGGACTGGAATTGTGTTGGCAAATTGACGACTCAATGAGGGACTACAGCATGAAGCAGTTCCAATTTTGGCCATCTCATTTAAACATCACCAAACCAATGAATCATTAACTCCAATTTAAGAAGAGGTTCACATGGATAAATGTGACTGAAACTCCACTGCCACAGGCCAAGATTCCAATCCTGCTCAGTCCTGTGGACGGTTAGTATTTCTTCCCTTTATCATTATCTTCTAGAAAAGAAATCATTTTTCTAAACAAATACTTCAAGTCTCAATGCAATTTCCAAATATCATCCCCTAAAACATTCACATTGACTGCAATTACCACATTAAGTTTTTCTTTAACCAAACATGATAGTTTTGGCTATACTGGTTCCTATACCAATAAGGTGTAATATAAGTCATAATGTTCATTTATTACAGATGGATGGCATTATACAGGAATAGTCAATAAGCACTTAAATAGCATATATTTATGTAAATTAGATTTGGGGACCCTTGTAGGCAGCTGGAGATAGAGCTTTGAATGAATGAAGTTTTGTTTTTTGTTTTTTAATACTTACACTCTAGAGGGAAACTCAAGGTTAAAAACATGTTCAAGCAGAACTTAGGAGGGATGCCACCCACCAGTGCTGTTAGAACAGCATTTAAAACTTTGTTCCTTAAAAAGGAAGCAAAAAAAGCATCCACTGCTGTGGGATGGTTTGTATGTTAAACTGCTCTGATTGGTCAATAAATAAAACACTGATTGGCCAGTGGCCAGGAAGGAAGTATAGGCGAGACTAACAGAGAGGAGAATTGAGGGAACAGGAAGGCAGAGAGAGACACTGCCAGCCGCCATGATGACAAACAGCATGTGAAGATGCCGGTAAGCCACAAGCCACGTGGCAAGGTATAGATTTATAGAAATGGATTAATTTAAGCTGTAAGAACAGTTAGCAAGAAGCCTGCCACGGCCATACAGTTTGTAACCAAATATAAGTCTCTGTGTTTACTTGGTCGGGTCTGAGAGACTGTGGGACTGGCAGGTGAGAGAGATTTGTCCAGGCAGGAAAACTCTAGCTACAAATGGTGTCCAACGTGGGGCAAGAGTTTCCACCTAAAAACTGAGAAAAAAAGATTCTAAAACGGAGCTAAAAACAGTTCCTAATTGTCTCTCTCAAATGAGCAGGCAGCTGCTGGTTTGAGCTACTGGCGGGTTCCTAACGTGCGCGCTCGACCTGCAGTATGGCGGGAATGAGGCTTCTGCAAGTGGCACATTAAGCTGCGTGGTGGATTTAGCCTTTGCTAGTACAAAACAAAAAAAGAGGTTTCTGGGCTACATGCTGCTTGAATACAAGCATAGACCCACGATAGCTCCCAGAGCTGGCGGAAAACGCCATGTTGGGAAGCTGAGGTGGGTGGAGCCGGCAGCGA